ACACTGGTTTTCTTTCTAGTTTCCAACATACTCTAACGTTTAACTTTTTTTTATAATTTTTTATTCTAATTGCGCTTTTGATTTTACTATTTCAACTAAATTTACATACTTAAATTTCTTAAACATAGAGATAGATTTCAATTAAGCATTTTATTTTACAACCTTTAACTGTTAATAAGTCTATATTTTATAGTACTATTTTAATTTGTCAATTCTACAATTTATCATTCTGAGTACTCTAACCATGACCTGATCCTACTCTTTCACTTCATTATTAACTTCATTCGCATTTTCAAACTTTAGCATTTCTTGCATATTCTGGTATTTCCTTTGAATTCTTAATACCCTTTATATCTGAATATATGTTTTAATCTCTTCAATGGTACCAATGTTCAGTTTTGAATCTTGATTCTCATTAAGCTAGTTTGATAGATTCCGAATTTTTAGAATGAAATCTCAACTTTCATACATAATTTTAGAACCATATTCATTCTTTCATGTACTCATACAAAATTCTTTCTTATTATCTTGAACGCTTAGTACCTTTTAATTCAGTAATTTGCACTAATTGAATACATTCTACATCACTTTAAATGTCTCGACTATGCAAATTTTCACTTTATTACCTTTTCCTACACTAAGTACGGATATTTCTGCCTTCATGAACGACTTTCATGTGAAATTGACGATTATTTACGTTACATGTATAAAAGAAATTTCTAAGATAAACATTTCCAGTTTTGAATAAAAGATGAATGACCATCCATTTTACCATTGGTTACAATTTCATCTCTTGGAAGTTTGTTTTATTGATATGCATTTATTTCTAATGCATAATATTAACACATTTTTTTTAGCTAAGTTCAGTTTAATTCACTACACAATTTCATATATAGACTATTTTTTAATTTCTTAGACTAGGATGTTCTTTTGCAAATGTCAGTTTGGATTAGTTTATTTACCAATTTATTTTCTTATGAACAAAATCTTGGGGAGCACTGTCATACCTCTACACAACATATATCATTACCAATATACCTATATTTACAGAAGGAACCAAACAGAGAAGGAGTAAAAGACGTTTTAATCAAATCTCCATTATAATTTCGAATATTTTAACCTTCTTCATGACAAATACAGAAATTTTCTTCGTACAATACTAGCCTGTTAAACTACCACTACTAGGACATGTACATATCCTTGTTTAACAAGGCCTCACTTCCCTAATCGCTTGTTTACCACTTTAAGATAATAAAACTACCCCATCTTACTTTAGATGATTCATTTTCATAAGGTTGGATATATTGGCCATTGTCTTGGAAAGCATGATGCTACATTTCTAAAAACGTGAAATGTGCTTAATATATGAAATATGCATAGAATTATATAAAAAGTGATTAATTTCTTTGAACAGTTTAATGTATTCTTTAAGTAGGTCCTTGAGTATTGTAGTCTATGTTCTGTATGTAATATAGATTACGCTGCTTTTCTTATAGTTTGTACTGTGTAACTGTAGTATTATGTGGAATTTATGTATGCTGAGCTTCGAATATGGAACTTAAAATAGTTTTGCACAGTAAAAAAATGGTAAGCAATATTGGGTATAAAATGTCATTAATTCGTTGTAATAATTTGCGTATGAAAAATACCAACTTCTGTTTTCGGAATAAATACCAGAAATGTATCAAATCATGTAATAAATCTGGTTGGTCTTCAAGTTCGACTGAAGTGATATAACTTCGGATATAACTTTACATAAGAATATCTAAAACTTACTGTGGGAATTCAGATTTTGAAAATAGTTTTCTATTTTTTATACTGTTTCATTGAGCTAAGTCTTCTAGCTTTTATGAAATATCATTGTTATTCACAAATGTTTATGAAAGATGAAAAATATTTGATTTTTTCCTAGAAATTTTTAGTGTCATTCAATAGGCACATGCAATTAAACTCATATGGCATTCTCTAATTAATGTGGAATGATATATATTCTTTGAAAAAGATTGGCCTGTGTTCTTAGAATCTACGAAATAGTGAAATGTTTGGTATGAAACGATAATCTTGCATGAAGTTCGGTATCTTCCTAAATTCTTAAATAGTTATGTTTTTACTTTTATTATTTTCAAAATTTGGTACTTCATGAATTAAATAACTGTATAGATGTACTAAACTTTATCGAAAATTTAAATATTTTATTAATTGGTTGGTTTTATTTAAATGGTTTAGAAGTAAATGAGCGGTATGTTAGGCAGTTTCTTTCAGAAATATATCCGTATTTGAAAACTCTGTAGATAATTTGCCTTACTGAAATTGTTCTAAATTTTTAAAAATATATGGGTGATATAATGCTATGTTATCATCTAGAGTGTCTTTTCTCTTTGCAAATAGTCTATCGAGTTATAATAGGAATTGAATCTTGTTTCTATGGCAGAATTTATTAGTATTTCTAGAAGAGGAATTAGGAAAAAAAATTTATGTTTTGGTAAAAATTAATGTAGTATCTGGTTTTCATTATGGTAGAAAGTGTTATTCAAATGTTTCAGAGTGGTAAAATATGATTCTGAAATGACGTTTTCTGAAAATAATCAATGTATTTCTCAATATTATAAATTTAAATAGCCAAAACTAGAAGTCTTTTACAAAATGTGAGCATGAAAGACATTGAAAAATCTGTTGCAGTCGTATAAAATTTAACTCGAAGATGAAAATTGTTGCTTGCATGATTAAACAATATCAAAATTTGGTTTGAAACTAAATCACTGAGTGCTACATATAGATGTGATCGTCATTGTTTCAAGGTCTTTTAGTAAAGAGATATCCTGTCCGAGGTTCGAATCCAGCGAACGGGCTGGCTGCATGGGCGTTTTCGTGGTTTTCCCCATGTGTAAGGTATATACGAGCCAGTTTCCTTTAGAAAGTCCTCCACAAAGGCATCCCTCCCCTTAGGCAGATAGCCCTCGAGGCTTTGCCATAATCTCACACACACCTGTTTAAGTAAAATTATTTTCCTTTCCCGAATGGAAGTAAGTGTAAAGCTAAATCTTTGGAAAAGTGAGATATTCGGATTTTTGTCTGTTAGAAGAAATGCGCATGCCTACATAAAAATAAAATAGGCGATTTTCTCGTTACTATAAAAGGGTAGATTTAGAAAATAAAGGAAAATTTCTAAAAACGTTACTACCTTACTCTTACTTCTTAAAAGTTGATAAGTTATAAGAAAACTCTTTTTAAACGTATACTGCTTATAGGAAATGATTTGTTACTCAAGTTTTATATTAACGCATTACAAGATTTTACATTTAAGTATAGGTAAGGTTTTATGGTTCCTAATGAGTGGAATTTTCTTAGTGTGTACGTGCATATTAATTGCATTCGCCGCAATTAATATGCACGTACACACTAAGAAAATTTGGGGGGTAATTTAATAATGTATCGCATAAATATTCTTTTCTTTTAAGAATCCTAATTTAAAGTTAATTAAAATTATTTTTAATTAACTATTAAATGTATGTAACGTGCTAATTGTACTACAGAATGAATCATGACTTTTTTGTGTATACTGACAAGGATAGATAAAGTGAACTTCAGGTTTTTCCCACTGATAGTAAATCTGGAGCTGATAAGAATCTGTTGACTCATTTTAAAGTAAATAAATTGCTTTCTATCGCATATTTTCTAAACATTTGTTGAGAATTCTGGGTAAATAACTTAAATTCGGTAAAGATTATATCCCGATTTGGGTGAAACCTTTGGCTAAGAGTGACAGTTTACAGTAAAAGTTAAAACCAAAACTTAAATGAACAAGACCAGATTAAAATATGATAAATTACGTGTTATGTGGTTATTATATCCATTTCTTTCTGAAATCTTCAGAAGGTGGTCAACGAGAAATTGATTCGTTATCTGTTACCTGATACACTTAAAATATGTTTTATTCTTAACTTATCATAATCAAAATCAAATTTAAAATAAAATTATAAAATATATGTATGCCTCTGATAAACATAAGTGACTACCTCTAAGCATTTTAAGCTCCAGTATAAATGTAAAAGAATAATTTTGGTCAGTGAGTGAATAAAAATGGCGTTGCATACTCGAAAAATACTTTAAAGAAAAATTGACGAAAAATAATAGATATAATATAAAATACTGACTAAAACAATTTTTGTAGAATAAATTCTTATGATAAATTTATGCCAGCGCGTCAAAAATTACGATAAAATTTTTAATTTTACTTTTCTTCGGTCTGACGCTAAAAGGATATTCTCGTGTCAGGATCAAGATTAGTTTGTTTCCGTAAAATTGTTCAGAAGGCTTGCTATTACTACTAGACATCTCAACAAGTTATTTGAGTACTTAATTTCTAATACTTAAAGAAATATTATCTGACAAATTTATGGGCAAATGAAAATGGTTTTGAAGAATAGTTACAAATTTTTCAGGCAAACCGGCTATTATGCGACTAATGAACAAAAATCGGCCGGGTAAAAAAAGGGAAAAAAGTGCCAGATTAATTTACAATTTTTAAAAATATACAAGATTTTAATACATTCTTAAAATATTTGCTGTCAGCAGCCTCTGTTTTCCCTATTAGGTTTAAGATAAGGCATCAATTTAAAACTAAATAATTAAATTTAGATCGTGTAGATGATGTCAGCTTTTTTTTAATATTTTTAGCAAAATAATTGGGAATTTTCTTTTAGTTTTTGTAATTATTTTAATTTCTTCCTGAATATGCGTAACGTATGAGGAAAAATTTGTTATTCTAAGGATCTGATTAAAAACTGCATTACCTAAGACATTTTTAGATAAAATTAGAATCCCAATTAATAAGCTTTAAAGTGTTGCAATGAAAATATCTACTTCTGTCAAAAAGCTTGATTATTGACAATAATAATACAAGATAACGTTATTTTTGAGTGTTTAGCATTTTTGTATATTCATTAAAATTAAATTGATTTGAATCACATTTGTCACAAATAATACCACATACTAAATTCTTTAGTATCAATCAAAAATTTTACTGTTTACTGTAAAATTTACATTACATTCAGTACTACTCTACTGCACTGAAAAAAACCAGTTTGATTTTGCAATGAAATGCTCATATCAAAAATAATAAAAAGTAATGCTCATCAAAAGAAATTTAATTGTTTAACATTAGCTAAATGTCCATTATTTCTTCACAATGTCCAGAATATATTAAATAATTCAAATCAAAACAAATTCATTACGAAAACTAATGCTGAAGTCACTAGGGAATGTAATTCCTTTAACAATCTTTAAAGTCCATACGGGTTTCAGCATTTTATTCTTGAGGATGAAAAACCATATAGGTATATAAAAAATAAATGCCACACAAATTATTACACAGCACTGACGTCGTGGTCAGAAAATCCAAGGTGCTTTGCATGTTTATAAATTTCATTTGCTGCAGCAGCGAGAGGCATGATGTGATCTTCACTATTTCCCATCATCAGGGCGAAATTCAAATCTTTCTGCATATGTTTCAAAGCTGTGTTAGTTGAAAAATTCTTAGTAAGCATACGGTCTGCTTTGTCTTGCATTTCTTCAATATTAAAGTTTAATAATGAAAGGATTTTTATGAAAGCCTTGGGACTTAAACTTGTTTTTTCTACTAAAGCCATGGCTTCTGATAAAGCTGCACATGTTGTTCCAACAAACATGCTAAGAATAAGGTTCATCTTTGAACCATTTGGGATTTCTTTCGATACATAATATGTATTATTTCCCATTGCACGGAAGCATGGTTTACAGTTTTCAAATAAAGACTTGTCACCAGCAACTAGTATAAATAAAGTTCCTTCTTCAGCTTGTTTCTTTGTGCCGATGACTGGGGCTTCAAGATACTTGCCCCCATTAGAAGTTATTGCTTCAAATATATCACGAGATGTGTCTGGATCAATAGAAGTCATTTCCACATATCCTTTTCCACCTACATCGCAGCTTTGCAGTGCTTTTAGCACAACCCAATTTCCAAAGACCATGGCTTTTGCAGCTTCTGGATAAGAAAGGCAACAGAATGTTATATCAGAAGCTGTAACAACATCAGCTGGAGTCATACTTCTATTTGCACCAGCTTCTACAAAGCTTTCCACTTTTCCTGGGCTTCGATTCCAAACTGTTACTTGATGTCCTGTATTCAATAGATTCAGCACCATTTTTTGGCCCATATGGCCCAGACCAAGAAAACCAATTTTTTGTGCATCTTTTGTCTCTAGTGTTTCACTGTCACTATAGTCATAATCAGATTCATGCACATAGGTTTCCTTATATTTTAATAGAGCTTCAACAGCTTTCTGTAATGCAACGGAACGTTTTTTAGTACTACTTACCATACTGTCTGTATGTGGTACAACGTTACTATCCATTATCCAGGCATAATTACCTGATCCAAAAAAAAAAAAAAAAAAAAAAAAGTAGTGTTTTCCTTTCTTTGGCTTCTTCGATGATTTAGTTATACGGGCCGGCCATGCTGGAAAGCCTTTCATTTTTGCCCAAACAAGATCTCCTACTCCGAAGCTTTTACTTGCCATTTTGATGTTAATAACAGATGACGTTTAGTCTTGCTTCAGCTGTTCAAAAAATGCTACAACCTAAAAAATAAAAATAAATGTTAAAAGCATTAATAAATCTGCATAAAAGTTAACTTAATCAACTTTCTATGTACTTAGTAAGATAATACATACATAATTATCACAAATGATTTATAAGTCATAAAACAGGTTATAGAGACATTAGGTTAATTGAAAAAGCCGGAGAGATGAAAAATGAGCAATCGCCTTCGCCGGGAACTAAACCACGGACCTCTAGAATACTGGCCCGGCGTGCAGAACCACTACACCACGAAGGCACGCTAGAAAGGCAGGAGAAATACTTTATATTCTTCCCCTTTTAAAGGACGAATGGGGTTATTAGGGGACCCAATCCCCCAAATCCTGGGTGAGGAAAATCATCATCCAACACACTTTTAGTTCGGGCGCCACTGTATAAACATTACGTTAATTGAAAAAGCCGGAGAAATGAAAAATAAGCAAGCGCCTTCGCCGGAAATCGAACCACGGACATTTGGAATACCGGCCCAGCGTGCAGAACCACTACGCCACGAAGGCACGCTAGGAAGGCGGGAGAAATACCTTATAAGATTTTGTACATATTTCTGCACATGGAAACTAACTACTTTTAAAGCTCATCAATGCAGAAAATTTAAGCAAGGGCCTATCAGTAAATGGCGATTGAATAAATTAAAGCAATTATTCATGCTTGAACCGCACTTTTATAGTGTCATTCTTTATAGTGTCATATATCTGTAACAAAAATACATTATTATTAAACATAATCTAGTAATTAACATAATTATAAAACAAATTTGAGAATAAAATAAGCTTTGTAAAACTTATAAACTAATGGCATTAAATTACAAAATTCTCGTGTACTTGCTGTAAAGAATAAATGACTTTATTAATCAAAAATAAATTGAAATCTACATCGTAAAAGAAGGAAAGTAACCTAGCCTGTAAAAATGGGGTTCACAGGTGTGGCGTGGTCAATGACATCACAGAGGGCGGGGCCAAAGGCAACGTCATCACACTAGGAGGCGTGGTTTCACGAGTGGAGTTGAGTGTTGGTAGACTTGCTGATTGAGTTGTAGACCTCCTGCTTTTCATTTAAAGTTAGTTTTTTTAAATTGGCAACGGGAAATCATGGCGTCCTCTAGGGATGAAAAAAGAAAATAATTATTTAGGAATTGCTCATGGCGTCCTCTAGGGACGAAAAAAGAAAAATAATTATTTTAGAAATATTTTTTTTTTTTTTTTTTAAGTCTATTATTCAAAATATAGAATTGAACTCTGAAAACAAAATATCTCACCAGCTCAGTAGTTTGAAGATTTTAACCACTAAGCTGATGTGATACATTCAGATTCAGGTAAAAAAGCCTATTAAGAAAATGGAATTTGAATTACTCATCAATTTATTCTGATACTTTTATCCTTTCTAGTTTTTCATGAAACTTTAACTTATTTCTCAGGTTTTCTGTTCATAATAACATATTCATTTACTGTCATATTTTTTTAATACTTAACGTTTCTAATTTGTAATATTTTATTTAATTTCCACATACTATTTTTTTTTCATACCTTTCATAAATTTCAGCATACCCTGATTTTTAACTTATATGTTATATTTCACAAACGTTCCCGCACATGCTGTTTATTTGTTACATTACTTAATTTTAGATGCAATTTCACACTTTTTTTAACGTTATAATGTTCAATATATTCTGAATTTTAACTTCATTTACTTTTTTTAAACCATTCTAGTATTCTATACACACTTTAACTTAGTGGTATGAAATTGTATTTAAAAAGAAACGTTTATTTTTCGTGATCTTAGTTCTTTTACTAAATTTTCTACAGAATTTCTAATTTCTTTCACGTGTTTAACAATATCTTCCTTACATTACCGAATATTTTTTTTAAAAAACTTAAGTCTATAACTGTTAATTGCTTTTCTTACGTTCATGATTTCCCTTCTGTGTTTATATTTCTTAATTCTAGTTTAACTTATTTATTATAATGTTTTTATTTCTGTCTCATCACTCGTAATTCCAACATTTTATCCCTTTTTATTCATTTTAACGATATGGATTGTTTTCATTTACTCCATATTCAAATATTTCCTTACAATTTTTATAAATACTTGTTTTATTCCTCGATCATAATAGATCATCTACAGGTTTTACTCAGAAATTTCCATTCACAACTTTACAGTTTAATACCATTTATATCTAAATGTATTTCTTTCTCATATAGTTTTATGGTCTTCAAAGTTTCTAACATCATGTTTAGTTTTAAATCCCGATTACCTTTAAGTGTGTTGATAATTTTCATTTCTAATTTTACAACCACGTTCAGTGTTTCATCCACACATACCAAAATATTTCTTACATTTTCTGATATTTAGTCTATGTCATATTTCAGTACTTCAAATGAATTTACACTGCTCACACTATTATTTTTTCATGTTTTAGAGACACTAACTATACTAATTTTACTATTTTTCCTGCACTAATTGCATCTATGTCAGCACTCATGATAAACTAGCAATTGTTTTGCATCACATGCATAAAGAAATTCTTAAAACCAACTTTTTCAATATCGTACTCAAATTACTGTTTTCCAGATGGGAATTACCAGTATTCTTTGGTTTTACTCTGTTACATCTTTTTAAATTTTAACATCTTACTTTTAATTCTAACATACATCTTTTAAACAGTTTTTTTTAACTTTTCTTTTAATGATAGCCTTACCTTATTTGTTCAAATTAATTCTTTCATTCACCTTCTTTACTACCTTTCAGTACCTTCATAATTCACTATGCAAACGCAATGTCTTTCACTGACATTCTGTTTAATAATACCACAAGTTTCCTTAATTGACAAAAAGCGAATTATTTCTCATTTCAAAATAGAACTACTATATTTTTGCACAAACATTACCTTTATCCATTCAAGCCACCCCTTAACCTGTAACTGACGTAGCGATAGGAAAGGAGATTCTTATCATATGCTCTTTCGACATTTGAGGTTTCTAGAACTTCTTTGACAAGTATATCAATACCATCAGAAAATATACTTAACACTTTTACCCAGTTTAAAGGCAACATACTGTTATAAGAATGGTTTTAGTTAAATTTATAACACAAATAAACGCATTTTGTGCTAAATAGGCATAAACATTTAGATTCAGAATATTTCTTTTTAATCCGATGTAAGACTTGAATTTCATTCATGATACGGATTGTCTCTTGATTTTTTTTTTGTTTTTTGTTTTTTGTTTACCTTACACTAATAGAAAATTTTTATTTTACAAGTTCAGCTTTTAATGAAATAGAAATAAAAACTACGATACACCTGCTGTTTTTAAGAAAAGGAACTTTGATATATTTCTGGAAATGTAAATGCTTTTAGAGTTTTCTTTCAATAACGTTGATTTTCATTACTTTACTAACTTCAATAATTCTCTTATTAGCTAATATGAATGAAAGAAGATTGTCAAAAATGTGACACAGTATAATTCTTACGAACATACGTACCTTTACCAGCATACAGATATTACCGATTGAAATGAAGAAAGATACAGATATTTTACTCCAATCTACATTAAATTAAAAAAAAATATTTAAACTTTCATACATTCCAAAGAATAAACGAAAACTCAATAGATATTGTCATGTTTGTATATATGAGATAAAAGTTTTATGAATGGTATTTAAAGTAATGCTTAGAACTTCATAAAAGCGAACATTCACTATGTTAATACACATATCATCAGTTATTTACATTAATCAATGTAATATTAATCATTACATGTACTATATGCATATATATTTAAAGTTTAATTGTCTTACAATTGAATAATTAACTATTGAGAGAAAGAGGTTCATATCTTACACTATTTAATTCACATGGAACAAATTTTTCCATCAACCACATTGAACCACGTTTATTAAATTCGCCAAAGCTCTTTTATTTCTGCATTTTCACACTCACGACACATTTTAAATGTAACTATTGATTACCATTTCAAACACCGATATCATAACTCAGTGTAAAACTACATCATAACTCATTTTTTCCCTACTAACTACAATTTTATATATTCAAGAAGTACATCTAAGACATGATCATTTTCTATGTTCTAGCAAATCGATTCAATTGCGAACATACTATTAAGACTTGCGATTTTAGAAGACTTGCATGTATTAACGATGTCAACGTTTCTTCGTTTTTGTAAGATTCGCATCAAATCATGTCGCATTCGAATGTGGTGTAAGAGATCACTTTTTCTTTTAAACACTTGTAAACAATGGATGCAATTTATAAGAAGAGAAGTATCATGCTGTTTCAAAACATCATCATCAGCATATTTCTGTTTCTTTTGACACCAGCAAAATTTAAAAAAAAAAAAAAAAAGTTTCGTGAGATTTTCTTCAAATTCTGTTTTACTTGAAAAAAATGTCCGAACATTCAATACGATGTAAAGATTCATATTGTTTTAAATTCTTATGCTCACTAAATATTTTTTATCACGATTTACTCTTAAAAGTAACTTTATAAGTTTTCATATCCTTTTTACATGAAAAGAACTTGTGATTATTCACTACAAAATTCTAAGACGAGAAGCTTCGCGACTTTTCAAACTACAAACTTAAATTTCTTAGGACATACACTACATCTGATGTTTCTTTCATGAGATTTCAAATATCTCTTCAGATTACTCGTATTCAAGAAACCTTACAAATATATCACATAAGTTCAGCGAATAATCGCTTCATAAACTCTTAAATTTTCAACACGAGTGAATCACTTGAAGCATATACTGCACTGTAAACATACAATACTTAAAAAAATTGTTATAAAAAAATAAAATACATTCATTTCACCAAGAAGCTTTTCTATTTAAATACATTTATTTATTTCCAAAGAACAAGTTTCTGTATTATACATAAAATATACTTAGAATTTTCTTTCATTAGTTAATATCAAATTAACAACAATATCCATTTACTGATATTTGATATACATGTTTGCTTTAAA